GTTGGCCAGGCTGGTCTCAAACTCCTGATCTCAAGTGATCTACCTGCCTCAGCTTCCCAAGGTGCTGGGATTACAGAAGTAAGCCACTGTGCCTGGCCTAGGTTGTAACCTTTTTTTTAAATGCTATGACACACAATATGGTCTATTTTCATAAATGTTCCAGTACACTTGAAATGAATGTGTATTTTGCTGTTGTTGATTGGAGTGTTCTATAAATGCCAGTTAGGTCAAGTTGGTTGATAGCGTGGGTCAATTTTCTGTTTCCTTTACTTATTTTCTGTCTACTTGTTCCATTACCTAATGAGGTCATTGTTGAAATCTCTAGCTATATTATTGACCATCTCTTTCTCTTTTCATTTCTCAGTCTGTACTCCTAGTAATACTATTTGCTCTCATGTCTATTTTTTCTGATATTAAAATAACTACTCCAACCTTCTTTTAATTAGTGTTAGTATGGTGCATTTTTTCTTATCATTTTATCTTTAACCCACTTGTTTTATATTTAAAGTGCATTTTTCTCATGGAGAAATTTTGGATATTGCTGTTTTTTAATCCAATCTGACTACCTTTGCCTTTAAATATGGATGTTTAGATGATTTATACTTAATGTGATTATCTGTGTAGTTAAATCTACAACCTTGCTACTTGTTTTCTGTTTCTCTTCTTTGTTACTTTTTCCCCTTTTTCTGCCTTCCTATGGATTGAATATTTTTATTCCATTTTTATATCATTCGTTGCTTTATTAGCTATCATTTTCAAGTTCTATAATGCACATCCTTATCACAGTTTACCTACAGGTAATATTATCTCACTTTATATGTAATATAAAACTGTTCAACAGTATATTTCCGCTTATTTGTGCTTTCTTTGACACACATTTTCCTTATACATATAAGCTACACAATATATGGTTATTATTTTTGCTTTAAGTATTTACTTATCATTTAATGAGAATTTTAAATGAGGAACTATTTTACATTTACCCACAGTTTCCATTTACGCTGTCTTTCCCTTCTTTGTATAGATCCAAATTTCTACCTGGCATCATTTTCCTTGTGCTGACACATTTCTTCCAGTACAGATCTGCTGGTGATGAATCGTTTTAAGTGTTTATGTGTTTGTAAAGTGTTTATTTTGCCTTTATGGGGGAAATTTGTTTTCTCCGATTATAGAATCCTGGGCTGGCTTTTGTTTTTCTTTCATTACTTTAAAGCTATTGCTCCACTACCTTCTAATAAAAAGTCTAGTATCCTTCTAATTTTTTTTTATCTCTATATAATGTCTTCTTTTACTCTATTTGCTTCTCAGATTTTTTTTTTATAATTGGTTCTAAGCAATTTTCTCCTTTATCTTGGTGTAATTTTCTTCATGCTTCTTGTCTTTGGAGTTTGTTGAGTTTCTTGATTTGGGGAGATAGCAATTTTAATCAAAGTTAGAATTGTTTAACTTTTTTATTTCAATACCTTTAGGGGTACAAGTGTTTTTGATTATGTGAATGAATTATATAGTGGTGAAGTCTGAGATTTTAGTGCACCCATCAACTAAGTAGTGCATACATTGTACCCAACGTGTAGTTTTTTATCCCATACCTCCCTCTCAACCTCCCACTTCTGAGTCTCCAAAGTCCACTCTGTCTGCCTTCGTATAATCATAGCTTAGCTCCTACTTATAAGTGAGAACATATAGTATTTGGTTTTCCGTTCCTTAGTTATTTCACATAGAAAAATGGCCTCCAGCTCCATCTACCTGTTACCCCAAGGACATTATTCCACTCCTTTTTATAGCCAAGTAGTATTCCACAGTGTGTATATATCACATTTTCTTTTTCCCCTCATTGGTCGATGGGCACTTAGGTTGGTTCCATATCTTTGCAATTGTTAATTGGGCTGCAATAAACATATGTGTGCATGTGTCTTTTTAATATAATGACTTCTTTTCCTTTTAATAGATACCAAGTAGTGGGGTTATTGGATGAAATAGTAGATGTACTTTTAGTTTTTTAAGGAATCTCCATACTGTCTCCGCAGAGGTTGTACTAATGTATATGCCCACTAGCAGTGTATAAACATTCCCCTTTCACCATATCCACAAAGTCTTGCTCTGTGGCCAGGCTGAGTGCACTGGCATGATCTCAGCGCACTGCAACCTCCGCCTCCCAGATTCAAGCAATTTTCCTGCCTCGGCCTCTCAACTAACTGGGAATACAGAGACACACCACCATGCCCAGCTAAATTTTTTGTATTTTTAGTAGAGATGGGGTTTCACCATGTTGGCCAGGATGGTGGAAACTGGTTGGTGAAAATGCAAGTTATTCTAAACTCTGATGTTTTACCCACTGTTTCCAGTGGTCTTTTCCTCATCCCTTAGTTGTGAAGTAAGCAGTACATATGTGAAAACTTGTGAAGCATCCTCTAATGTCCCTCTGTCTCTCTCTTCTCTTTCTTTCTTTCTCTCCACAACTTTTTACTCTCCATGCAGCTCCATCTTCTCTGCCTTATGAATTAATCACCTTGGCCTCCCCAATTCCTCAACTTTTTCTCAACTGAAGGAGTCTACCAGACATTATTTGGGTTTACCTCCCTGTACCGTAGCCTAAAAATTTTATCCAGGCAGTTAAGCATCAGCAATCATAGAATTCAACTTGTTTGTTTTCTTTCTTTTAGGAATAAATATCCTGTGTTGCCTTCGTTTGATTTCTGAAAAACACTATATATTTGTTCATTTCTTTGTAGTTGTTTAAGATGAGAGGGTAAATCTGGTCCTTATTACTTCATGTTAGACAGAAGTAAAAATATATACTCACATTTTTCACACGTACTCAAACTCCACATATCTATGGCTGGCTGAACTATTTTTTATCTCTTCTTTCCATATTCTTTGTTCCAACTCCAAATCCAAAAGAAACAAAAGAAAATTGCACCATTCTCCCTCCAGTGTTCCCTATTTTAGAAAATAGTACCACCCAATTATATGAGCCAGAAACCTAGAAGTTTTTCCTTTTTCCTCCTTTTCTAACTCCCTAATCTAAGCAGTCACCTAATTCTCTCCATTCCCACAGTCATTATTTTCATGCTAGAAAATTGCAATTAATTTGTGACTGATCTCTTCCTTCAATACTGCCCTACTCTGATCCATTATTTATATAAAAGCAGGTGTTACATAGCCTTAGTCTAAAAACAAAACACAATGAAAAAACAGAAAATATATCTTTAACTTTACTTAATGTGTTTATTGTAGTGTTATGGGTGTAGAAATTTCAAAATATTTTTCTATATTGTAGGATTAAACAAACGGGTAAATGTATCAATTAAAAGAAAGGTTGGGCTGAAATTAATAGTATCAGTGTAAACTCATTGCCATACAGGCACACATACATATACATATATACAATACATGTTTGTATATATGTATAAATATAAATACATACATAAATGTATAAATATATACAAGTCTGTACATATATATATAAACATATATATGTGTGTGTGTACGTGTGTGTGTGAATTTGCTATTTTCCCAGTTCTACCTACTGAAAATCCTGGAAGAAATTATTCTAAATATAATTTCCCATAAAAGGTACCACTTATTCTTGGAAAAAATGACTAATTCCAAGGCTAGATCATGGAAAGTTCAAAATAAGTCTGGAATATACTGTCATGCCATATGATAAGAAAGTATTCACAAAATGACAGCATATGAAAAGGAAACAGACACCAAATGTAATAGGTTCCCACTAGGAAAATATGGGAAATTATTAGCAAAAATTTTAATCAAAATAAATATAGTCTATCAAAATGAATAATATTAATGGACCATAAGCCAGTGAATAAAACAAGAACCCATTCATACTGATGTTAGCTAATTAAAGAGAAAAAAAAAGATTTTTTTCTTACTATAGAATGTCATCTAATAAATGTAGAACAATAATAGATTTATAAAATCACCATTTTTCCACCATAATTGTTATTAGCCACATAAGAAAAATCTGTAGTTGCTAAGACTATTGGACGTAAGCTGGAAAAGGCATAAAATGGCATCAGAACATCTCTTCACAAACTACTTATTAATTGTAAATGAAAAACATAGTAATTTTAGAGTGCAGCAACCTGGTAAGCATCTAAATTAATATTACCAGTAATGGGGCAAACAGACATCAAGTCCTTTCTTGAGTAATGTGCTGAGAAAGACATAATTAACTCTTGTAGTGTTACTTCGAAAATGAATAAGGAAGATCTACTCAAAGTCATGAAAGATGAAGAAATGTTGAGTGTAGGCCAAAGAGATATAGCAATAAATGCAATGCATAATCTTCAATTGAATTCTAAATCAAGGAAAATTTCTATAAAAGAAATGTTGGGGATAATTTGAAAAATTTGAATATGGACTACAGATTAGAAAATAGTATTGTTAGGTTACATTTTGTGAATTTATAATAGCCCATGATATATTATAATACATTTACCTTACTGTGATCAGATTGTTGATTATAATAAACTGATGGCCAACTAAGATCTCACATAACCAGTAGATTATTCCTTTTTAGAATTTCAGGCTGATATATGCTTAGCTTTTCCTGGACCACACCTGTCATCCACTCTGTTACTAGAAATGGGCATTGTCTAACCTCGAGGTACAGATGCTCCTCAACTTTTAAAACTACATGCCAATAAGCCCATCTTAAATTGGGAATGTTGTAAGTCTAAGTCCATTGGCCTATGTCCCATAAACCTATCATAAACACAAAAATCGTAAATCAAGCCACTGTGAGTCATGGACCAGACTGTAATACTCCATATGCACCTAGAAAAAAATCTAGAATCTTCTGAAACCAGACCAGAGAAATCACCTACTGAAATAAAGGATTATGACCAATTTTCAGTGCTCATAGGGAAGAAATTCAGCTTTATAGTAATTTAATTGGTCAATAGACTACTGAATGCACTTTATAACTCTTTTTAGATAACAATGGCTGAGAAGAAGATCTTAAAATAATTACTGACCTCCAAGTCCAGGTCGCAGCCGGTTGTCATAGCCATCCAGAAGACGATCCAAGATTCTGGTGAAGATAGTGATGTTGTCAGTGCTGTCATCAGGAATATCTGGGGCATGCTTAGGAGACAGTCTGAGGCAATGCAAGGAAAGGAAAAGAAAAATAATAGTGCTTAATAGGAAAAAATACATGACTAGATATTTTAATTAAAGAAGATTTCCATTAATAGACTGGGCCAATTACATAGACCTATATCTTAACCAAAATAGCAATCACTACCTTTCTGTCACAGTGATTGCCTGTGTAGGAGGCAGACAGTACGGTTAATACTTGAACTCTTACTCTAGCATTGTTATGAACTTTGCCAGGCATGTATCGCCGACCCATCCCACCAGTAAAGAGACACAAGAAGAAATTCTGGACAGAATGTCACTGAGAACATTTCCTGGCATACAGTTGGTTTATCAAATTACGTTGTATGATTAAACTGGCTTCAACATAAAGAAGGGAAATGTTGCTGACAACTTACCTCACCTCTGTCCCAGAGAAATTTAAGTTCATAGAAAAACAGGGTCAGACAGACCCTTGAATTGTATATGGTCTGCCTCTATTCTCATGTTATGGAGATAGGGAAATCAAGCAGTAGTAGTCGTCCATCAAACGTGAAAGCTACCAGACTTTAAGACTATTAAGAGATGCCTTAATAGCTTTCATTTTATATGTGGGGAAACAAGCTCAGAGAGGAAACCAAATTTTCCCAAACTCATATTGCTACTGAGAGGCAGACATAAGGCTATAATCCAACTTTTCTAATTTTCCAGTGTCCTTTAGGTACGTCCTGATTCTCCAGGTTGGATGACTTCTTGTAAGCCTTTCTGAAGACTATGCACTTTACTAACCACCCAATCAGGCTCAGACACTGTGACTGATACTTTTTCACTTTTTGAGGAGGAGCTTGATGTCGTTTGAGAGGACTAGAAACAAAGGCCCTGGGTAGTTCAGAGGAAATAAGGATAGGGTGAAAGTTATGTTTGTTGCCAAGGGTCAAGAAGCATGGGGTGGAATTAAGTAATGAACCAGGAGCTAGAAATCCTGGGTCCTAGTACCAGCTGTATTCGTGATTGGAAATACCACTAAGCAACTTACAGCATGTGTATGTGTTTAAGTCTCAATTTTTCTCATTCTTAACTTGAACACAGGAAGTTGACATTAATAAATATATAATAAATATTCCTAGCATCTAGTTAATCAGGGCTATAAAAGTTAAGATTCAAGTTAAGAAGGGGTCTTAAGAGACAGTAAGTATTTCTTCCCACTAATATTCATCTCAAGCAGTGAACAAGGTTTCTGTTCTCAAAAGATCCTCAGAAAAAGCTACAGAATAGTATAAACATCAACATGTCTTCCCCCTAATATTTATCCCTAGCAGTGAACAAGGCTCCTGTTCTGAAAAGATCCTGAGAAAAAGCTACAGAATAGTATAAACATCTGATTTGAATAGTTCTCACTCTAAACTGCCATACTGTAGATGATAACCAAGCTTGAACTTAATTTATAAATGTAATTTAATTCACTTAATCATCCAACACATTTTTATTAACTATGTGTCTATTACTGTTGCAGGTGTTGTGATGGAGCAGACAGCAAAAAAAAAAAAAAAAAAAAAAAAAAAAGGAAAACAAAGCAAGTAACCTTCCCCTACTTAACTTACGGGGATGCTGAGATAATCAAATTATAAAATAAATACACATGGGAAAAAAATAAGTAGGCTTAAAGACTCTGGAAACATGCTTTAAGTTTATGAGTTGTGTGACCTTAGGCAAGCTATATAGCACCTCTGGTAATAGCTTTAGGACCTTTAAAATTAGCTTCACAGATACATTGTATTAAAATTTAAAAATACAATAAATAAAATTACCAGGATTACTGCTTCACATCTATAAGTATTCAAAGTGTGCTTTCTGTTTTTTACACTAGTGGTTTATACACTCGAATGCAGTATCCAAGTATAAATATTAACAACAAGCAATTGTCACCCACATCAGACAAAATCCATAAGGAAACTGGCCAGAGGGGAACTGGAACCTAGTCAAAAGTAGACATGACTGGCTGGTGTAGTGGACAGATCACAAGAAATAATACAGGTGCCCCATTAGGAAGGGAGAAGAAAGAAGGGAACTGTAGTGCAGAGCTAACGAACTGATATCAGTATGCTGAGGAGATAAATACAGGTACACTGTCAGGTTACAGTCCAACCTTGGGTCAGTCTACCAATGATCTAGATCAGGCATCCCCAAACTATGGCCTGCGGGTTGCATGCGGCCCCCTGAGGCCATTTATCCGGCCCCCCGCCGCACTTCAGGAAGGGGCACCTCTTTCATTGGTGGTCAGTGAGAGGAGCACAGTATGTGGCGGCCCTCCAACAGTCTGAGGGACAGTGAACTGGCCCACTATGTAAAAATTTTGGGGACGCCTGATCTAGATCCATCTGACATGAGCTGCAGGGGGAAGGGCTGTGGATAGCTCAACTGATTTTGTACAAACCCCTTTCTCATTATCTCTTAACTCTCATGGCAGAAGATCTTGACCCTGTGTAGCCTAATTCAGTTTCTTGCAAGTAGATTCATAAACTGAATGATAAAACATTTCTTGAATTACTAGAAGGGGACAGAAAGGAGAATCCTCACAGAATCATAGGGAAACTCTATAGGGCTTCTGAGATTACCTATTCCAGATGGATTTGTAGATAAGAATACTAAAGCCTTGAACATAATTTTAAACACCCTGAGAGTTGATGAGATGCTAAAATGTTGATCCAAAATTCCTGAATATCAAGAATATACACTGGAAAAAAAAGACAGTCTCTTCAATAAATGGTGCTGGGAAAACTAGATATCCATATGTAGAAGAATGAAACTAGACCCCTATCTTTTGCCATATACAAAAATCACATCAAAATTAATTAAAAGACTAAAATCTAAGACCTCAAATTATGAGACTACTACAAGGAAACTTGGGAGAACATCTCTAGGACATCAGTCTGGGCAAAAATTTCTTGAGCAATACCCTACAAGCTCAGGTAATCAAAGCAGAAATGGATAAATGAGATCACATCAAATTACAAAGCATCTTCCCAGCAAAGGAAGCAGCGAAGTGAAAGGACAATGCATAGAATGGGAGAAAATATTTGCAAACTATCCATCTGACAAAGGATTAATAACCAGAATAGATAAAGAGCTCAGACATGGTGGCATGCCTGTAGTCCCAGTTACTGGGGAGGCTGAGGTTGGAGGATTATCTGAGCCTGGAAGGTGGAGGTTGCAGTGAGCTGAAATCACTCTACTGCACATCAGTCTGGGCAACAGAGCAAGACCCTGTCTCAAAAAAAAAAAAAAAAATCAATGCTAAATATCACCCCAAAATTATTTTCAATATGTTGCTCTTTGGTTTTATTCTTTATTACTGATATTTTTTTCTCCTAATGTGCACTAAATTATTGTGTGGGGAAGCTGATCTCATCTGGAACCTAGATAGAACTCTTTCTTCTTCAGTAACTAAACAGCAACGTGATTCTACAGTTTGCACTAATGCAAAGGTAGTTTGGGGAAGAAAGAAGAAATCATGGCATGTCAGAATTATGGAGAACCTTAGAGATTATATAATTCTCTCCCTTCATTTTACACCTGAGACACCTAAGATACCAACACCAAAGAGAATGAATTGACCAATGACGTATGACATATGCTTATCAAGTTAATGTGAAGGGTGCTAAAACATGACCATTGCACCTCATATCTGTCACTACTGGTTAGATAAAATATGATAATAATAATCCATCATTTAAAATGAAAATTATGTTACTAATACACTATCTGAAGGTTATGCAAGTTTAGTCATTTTCCTAGCCCTAAAGTGGTAAATTCACAGGACTAGAATCAAATGACTAGAATTTAGTTCTGTCTCTGCCATTAATTGAATGTGAGATCCATAGGCATACCTCAGGAATATTGTGAGTTTGGTTCCAAGCCACTGCAATAAAGCAAATATCACAATAAAGTGAGTCACAAATATTTTGGTTTCCCAGTGCATATAAAAGTTACATTTATACTATGCAGCACTCTATTAAGTGTTCAATAGATTTACGGCTAAAAAACAATTTACATACAGTAATTAAAAACATTTTATTGCTAAAAAAATGCTAATAATCATCTGAGGCTTCAAAAAGTCATAATCTTCTTGCTGGTAGAAGGTTTTGCCTCAATATGGATGGCTGCTGACCAATCAGGGTGGTGGTTGCTAAGGGTTGGGGCACCTGTAGCAATTTCTTAAAGTAAGACAAATGAAGTTTGCCTCATCCACCGACTCTTCTTTCAAAAAAGATTTTTCTGCAGCATGTGATGCTGTTCGGTAGGATTTTATACAAAGTAGAACTTCTTTCAAAATTGGAGCCCATCCTCTTAAACACTTACACTGCTTTATCAACTAAGTTCATATAATATTCAAAATTCTTTGTTGTTATTTCAACAATTTCACAGCATCTTCACTAGGAGTAGATTCCATCTCAAAAAACCACTCTCATTGCTCATCTGTAAGAAGCAACTCATCCCTTCAAGTTTTTTCATGAGATTGCAGCAATTCAGTCACAACTTTGGGGTCCACTTCTAATTATAGTTTTCTGGCTATTTCCACCACATCTGCAGTTACTTCCTCCACATCTGCAGTTACTTCCTCCACTGGAGTCTCTAACTCCTCAAAGTCAACCACGAGGATTGGAACCAACTTCTTCTACATTCCTGTTCATGTTTACATTTTGACTTTTTCCCCTGAATCACAAATGTTCTTAGTGGCATCCAAAAAGGTGAATCATTTCCAGAAAGTTTTCAATTTACTTTTTTCAGATCCATCATAGGAATCACTATCTACAGCAGCTATAACCTTAAGATATGTATTTCTTAAATAATAAAACTTGAAAGTCAAAATTTCTTCTTGATCCATGGGCTGAAGAATGGATGTTGTATTTGTAAGCATGAAAACAACACTCATTTTGCACAGTTCCATCAAAGCTCTTGGGTGACCATGTACATTGTCATTGAACAATAATATTTTTAAACGAGTCTTTTTTTCCTGGGAAG